CCACCTTCGGGAAAACTCTATTTAGACGACGATCGGCACACGCTTACGTCGCTTCCTCGCGGCTGGCCAATGCAGCAGATGTAGTTAAAAATCCGTCCCTTCCACCCGCGGCCACAGTCAGGGCGGCATGAGGCGCTGGAATGCGCGCCTCCACTGCCCGGTTCGCCATCCTTCCGGACCCTCTGCCGCCTCCTTCTGCAAGATTACGTCTTCGCAGAAGGATGCGACCGCGGTAAAACAACTATCGCTACCGACCATGGAGCGTATGATAGCCGGTAGCAAGACATCCTCTCCGATGAGTGCAATAAGGACCCGACGCTTCGACAAGCCGGGCAAATTGCCAGCGTATGCAGAGACGAGTTCTCACTGGAATCGCAGTAGTGAGAGGCGGGGCTTAATTCCCTCCTAGCGACCGATTTCAGGTACTTCCCTGAGCAAAGCCCTGCCCTGGCAAAGCCAGCACGTGGAACCTCCAGCCGGGACGACCAACGAGCCATCGTGGCTCGGCGAGCGACCTCGCTCACCTCTTCAGGCAGGGGCCGACTGCCAGTACCCGCCCGGAACGCAGCCGTCCGCCGATATATTTCGGCGAGCACTCGTGTTCTTATAGCGACGCTGGGTCCACCCAATTTGGGCAAAAGTCGCCCTAGGGCGGACGCAGCGCCAACCAACTTTGGAACATGCCGTCGGAAATGCTCGTCAAAGAGCCATCTACCGTCGAGGATTCAAATACTTTATTTGGGCCTGAACTGGTACAAGGACTGAATTAACCACGATTGAGGCGCGGGGGGGGCGGACCACGACGGGACCCATGGAATGAAAGGGACTCCGTCTTAACTAGGGCCACCCGTAAGCCAAGCTCCTCGATGCGCCCAATCACCAGAGAGACTCCCCTGGTGGCAGTCGACAGTCGAACGCCGGATACGGAACCAAATTGGGCGTCCGACAAATCATGGCCGACTTCGCGTAGGTGCCGCACGATGCGGGCAAAGACAAAAACCCTCGGGAACAATTTACACGCCTCGTCCAGCAGCACGATGGGCCTGTACGCCGCGACCGAATCAGCAGGCCGTCGTGGCTTCCGCAAGAGCACTAGCTTCCCGCTCTTCCAGCACTCAGGGAAGCACATGTAGCTGAGGGCCAGTGCCAGCACTCGGGCGGGGATCGCTTATGGGCCTAGGGCGGTGTTCAAGGAACGGATCCGTAGAACAGCCGCCTCGACGGGTGGAACACCGTCCTCCTGGTTCTTCCCGTCGTCTCCGGCCAAGCAAGAGGCCATCCACGGGGGTGTGTGCTCCGCTTGTTGCGGGAAAAAACCTTCAACCACATCCTGTAGGAAGCTGGGCTGGAGAGTCTCCGAGAGGGGGTGGGAGGCCCGACGTGCGGAGCTTTTGTTGCACCGCACGATAGGGGCGACCCCAGGGGTCACGATCGAGACACTCCAGCATCTCTGTTCTCTTAATTTCTTTGGAGCGGCTAATGGCCAGCTTCAGAGTTTTCCGCGCCTCTCGGAACTCCTAATGAAGCCGGTCCTCCTCACCCTCTCCGCGGTTACGCCGCCGACTGCGGGTGTAAGACCTCTGGGCACGAGTACAGGCCGCGTGGAGGTCCGCCAGCTTTTGGGACCAGTAGACCCTTTTCCGTGGGGGCCGTCGACCTCGAATGCTGGCATGGCCGCATCGTAAATCTGCGTAATCGTGTCACGAAAGCGATCAGCCCCATGTCGACACCCTCGGTCGAGTCCTGCGGAGACAGCCAAGAGTGAATGATGGACAACAGTCCACCTCAGAAAGCGAGAAGAACGCCGCTCCACGTGACCACTGTGTCAATGGGTGCCGGTAGTCACTTACTATGAGTTCACCCGTATGTTCGTTTGCCATTAAACTCACTTGCTTCAAACTCTTTGTAGGTTTTGGTCCTAAACCATAGAATGACACTTTTTTTGCTTAATGAATACCTAAGAAGTGTACTTATTTAAGAAAATTCTAAGACCATCAGTCTATCATAATGTTATTAGATCTAGTGCAAACTTAAACAATGAAATTATTTTGAATAGAGAGCATTTGTTGATTCCTCTACCCATTGATAAAGATGTAAACAGAGCCATTGTTTCAAAATTGTAAATAACTCCGAACTAACCAGACTAAATTTACACATTCTTCACGTCACGCGTCACACGTACGATAATTAATTGGTCTTCAACATTCAGTTGAAACAAGACTCTATAACTTGTCGCCTTTGTGTAAGAATATTACGGTCATTAAAAACATTATTCAAATTGTCTTTGCACGTCAGTGTTGCCTCGTTTTAAATTTCTGTATTGCCATTGCGAAAACTGTGTGGGAATATTACTGCATGGCAAACACTATAGAAGAATTAATTCTTTTTAAAAGAATAGCATTAAGATATCTCTTAGCTAGAGAATCTAGACTTCTGACGCTCGGAAAGCAGCCTATTAATAAAAAAATCGCCAATATTATTAGCAAACATCGTGATGATAGTTGGACCAGTTTTATGAACTCATTCAATGAAGATCTAACGAAAAATTTGAACGTTTTCTCTCACGGGCAATATAAAGAAGAGAAAATAACCAACGTGCCTAGACGATGCAGATTCGAGTCTTCTTCAAAAGAGTTTCTAATGAAGTACAGAATTGATTTACGGTAAGAATGGCCAATTATGGTGTAGCCAAATCCTGGAGTCTTAGTTTAAAAACTTTCGTGAGTAACATTCGTATTGGAAATGGAAAGGATGATTGGTAAAGTATCTGCAGACAACTGACTGACACTCCACCCGTGATAATGGTCTCCTTTTAGGTCCGAAACATTTAATTGTGGATTATATTTTCAACTCCTCCAATTTACTTCTGATTAATTTCGTTGCGGATTCCAGGACGGTTTAACTTTTCCTGCGACTTAACTTCGGAAGCATGGCTCTCCCAGGGCGTTTTTCCGTCACCGTCTTCTGATTGACGATAACAGTTCAAAAAGGACATTAACTTTCATTGGACAAACATGAATTGCCGAAATATGTACAATAAAAAAAACACTTGTACGTCATGTTACTATCACAGATATGTTATCATCTATCAACCGTATTAGATTAGTCAGTTTATTTTATGACGTGTCCTTAAGCAGTCAGTCAGAAGTGTCTTGTTTGAGTAGTTCAGCTCCAAAGGCATCGTCAGCGTAGTGGAGGTATGTCCGTTGATGTAGTTAGATTCAACTCTATTTTTACGTGTTTTGATATAGCGAAAGTATAATAAGAGCGTAATTGTCTATGCTTAAAATAAATCATGTTAAGAATTAGTTATTGCCCGCAGTTTCGTTCACGTAATTATTACTTATGTCGTGTTTCAAACCATAGGATACCACAAATACGAATGAAATTTTAGTACATTTGTGTTAAGAAAATAGTGACGTCGTGTCAAGTCATAGTTACGTACGAAAGGATGACTTCTTGACTCTTGACACGACAACACATTTGGCCAGTTTTTTAAAGTAGTTAATAACCATGTCGCCTAAGCTTTAATAGTTAAACAAATATCGTAGAAATATAATGATATACCTAAACGTATAAAATTACTTGCCCTGACTAATTCATTAACGCAGATTTTAGCAGCTGATACTGTTTAAGCACCCAGCAAAGCAAAGGACTTTTGGGTATTTCACCCCTCTTACAAAAAATGAGAAGCTAATGCTACAGGAATGATATACATATATTAGGCCGCTGTATATTTTCGTAATTCGCTGCCTTAGACTGTCAGAGAGACCTGCGCTGGTACGACGTATGACTTGCGGGGAAAGTTTTAGCTTCAAATGTGTTACAGACCCCTTGGCTCTTAATTTTTTTAATTAACAGTACTGAAACTTCTTTTTCTATAAACAGAAACGTATTCCAATTTATCTAAATAACTTTCGTTAAACACTTTAAGTAAGAAATTACCTTTTCGTAAAAATACAATAGGTGTAGATTTATACCCATTTTTAAAACAATAAGTTTTACGTGTCACGTTTGATTGAAGGCCATCTCCACTATCAGTGACTAACAGTTATGGCATTTTGTGTCAGAGTTACTGTGTGACTCATACTATTTTTCTCTTTTTTCATTTGTAACCGATCACAAAGTAATGACAGCATCCCGTGTCTGGCGCATCCTTAATGGGTTGCTCAGGAATCCAGCGGGGCGGGATTCCATGCGGCAATTAATATAATGTTGTAATTGAATAGGTACTTCATATAGAAGATGCCGTGGAAATAGCATATTTGGATACCACAGCTTAACAGAAGTCTTCAGCAATTCTTTAAACAAAGGAAGAAAAAAATAATATATTGGCAATGACACAACACTTTTAACAATTCTGGAGCTTGAGCTTTCATCGGTGCCTAAAACGGACCACCAATTCAGCCGTATCTTCTTCTGTTCTTTCGTTGTATTTCACCCGTTATCCACAAACCGCTTCTAAAGGGAGTAGGAAAACAAATTTCAATGGCTTATTTAAACTACCTAAAGAGGGAGAGAACGGTGGGAGAGTCTTGCTTCGTAATATGTCGGCCGTCTCGACCAGAGTTATATACGGCTCACAGAAAACTTTTTTTTTTTAATGTTAGAGGGAGCAGACGGGTCACCTGATTCAAAATGACTACCACCGCCCATGAAAGCCTGCAACTCAGGAGTCATAAACGCGTTGCCGATCTTTTAGGAAGGAGTACACTCTTTTCTTAAAGGTTTTCTATATTTGTTGGTGAGCAACTCTTTCTTTGTATTTCACCGAGTGAGTGAGGTAATCGGTGATAGTCCCGGCCAGCCACGCAATCGTCACTCTTGTATTGCAGATGTCTATGGACGGAGGTAGATACTTACCATCAGGTTAACCATCTGCTTGTTTACCCTTTAAACCTTAAAAAAATTAAGTCTTCTGGGTTAGCAGTATGAGTGTATGTACTCGTATTTATGTAGTAATAATAATTAAACTCATATCTGATTTGTTTTATTTCCAGAGGGGGCAGAATGACGGAAGCACCCATAGTGTCAGTTGAACAGGGCCAGCTGCAGGGCCGCATAGTATCCGGCGCCGTGGGCAAATCCTTCTACAGTTTCCAAGGCATACCCTATGCTAAACCACCGCTGGGTTCCTTGAGATTCCAGGTAGGAACTAATCGATATCTTCTAGAACAGACCTTGTATTTAGAAAACTGGCATGCTGTGTGCTAGTGATAATGACTAGCTGCTTACACAAAAGCTATGGAGAGGCCTCCATAGCTTTTGTGTAATAAGATATATTTCTGTACTACGTGTTCCATTTTTTTACAACGGTGACCATTAGTTTTCACGTGCGGTATATTTAATATAATAATATATCCCACACACTCACACACGGCTGTCTGATCCCAAACTAGGCAGAGCCTGTACTATGGTAACCAGACCGCTGATAAACATACTTATATATTTCTAAATACATACATATTATAGATAAATTACACCCAGACACAGAACAAATGACCGTGCTCATCACACAATATTTGTCCTGGGTGGGAATCGAACCCACGACCTCCGGTTTAGCAGTCAGGGTCACTAACCACTAGACCAACAGGCCCGTCGATTATTTGTTTGAAATAGGGTACAAATTATTTCTTCATATATACTGTCCTTCTCGTCCTGTCGTACCCTTCACTGGATATCGTGACCTCTACAAATCATCCCTAGGAAAAACGCTTTTTACTACTTTTTAAGAAAGCAGGTTTTGACTGAATATACCAACCTGTGGTAACTAAAATTTCCGTGTAGTGACGGGTTAAGGATACGTAATGTCACCACCCCTATTCATCCCGTGGGTGTCGTGTCGTGCCCAAAGAGAAGGAAAACTTGAAACAAACCCTTTTTTTTTTTTTTTTTTTTTTAACGTGTGGAAATCCCCTCGGACCGTCACCCCTCCGGGGTTTGCGGCGGGGTGGTGTGTCGGACTCGGACCGACTAAAACCGGGATCCGAGGGATCCGGGAACAGCTGTTGTTAAGACATCCGGACCCCTCCTAGCGCCAGCCCGCTCCTGGTGCGGGCTCCGTCTCGATGTTTTTCCTCTCTTTATAGGCGACGTCCGGCACACGCGGACGCCGCCCCCTCGCGGCTGGCCAACTAATGCGGGTGGAGGGGAAACCCACCCCGTCCACCCGCGGCCACACTCAGGGCGGCATGAGGCTGTGGTAGGCGGGCCTCCGCCGCCCGGTTCGCCGGCGGCGGATCGGGTCCGAGTGGAGGTCGTCCTCCCGGGCCCTCTCCGCCGCCTCCTTCCGCGAGATTACTACCTCGCAGAAGGTTGCGACCGCGGTAAAACAACTGTCGCTACCGGCCATGGAGCGTACTACGGCCGGTAGCGAGAGATCCACTCCGATGACTGCAGTGAGGGCCCGGCGCTGCGCCGCCCATGCGGGGCAGACCGCCAGCGTGTGCTGGGCCGAGTCCTCACTGCAGTCGCAGTGGTGGCAGGCGGGACTCAGTTCCCTCCTAGCGACCGTGTGCAGGTACTTTCCGAAGCAACCGTGCCCGGAAAGCACCTGCGTCAGTCGGAAGGAAAGGGTCCCGTGCTGCCGTCCTGCCCACTCGGCGATGACCGGCTGGAGAGCCTCCACGGCGGCGAAGCCAGCGCGTGGAGTCTCCAGCCGGAACGACCAACGAGCCATCGTGGCTCGGCGAGCGGCTTCGCGCCACTCGCGCACATCCTCGGGCGGAGGGCGAAATCCGCTCTCCGCCCGGTAGTCAGCCACTCGCCGATAAACTTCGGCGAGCACTTCCGCCTCCAAATCCCACGGGGGAGTTCCGGCCAACGCGCACGCCACCTCCGTCGAAACGGTGCGGTAACCGCGTATGGCTCTGACCGCCATTACCCTCTGAGGGCGCCAGAGGCGTACCCTATTCTGGGCGGTCAGAGCCGCCGCCCACACCGGTGCACCGTACAGTGCCATTGACCGGACAACCCCCGTGTACAGCCGTCTTGTCGCGACGCTGGGTCCACCCATGTTGGGCAAAAGTCGCCCTAGGGCAGACGCAGCGCCGACCAGCTTTGGAGCAAGCTGTCGGAAGTGCTCGTCGAAGAGCCACCTCCCGTCGAGGATCAGGCCCAGATATTTCATCTGGGCCCGAACCGGTACGAGGACCGAGTTGACCACGATTGAGGCGCCAGGGGGTGGACCACGACGGGGCCCATGAAATAACAGGGCCTCCGTCTTATCTAGGGCCACCCGTAAGCCCAGCGCCTCAATGCGCCCGACCACCAGGGAGACTCCCCCTGTGGCCAGGCGCGCCGCCTCTTGGAAGTTTGCCCCCCGGGCTGTCACCAGTGTATCGTCTGCGTAACAGATTACACCCAGCCCGGGGGGGAAATCGGCGCGAAGGGCCCAGTCGTACCCTATGTTCCACAAGAGGGGTCCAAGAACAGACCCCTGTGGAACACCGCACGACATGGGCCGACACCTCAAATTACCTTCTCGGTCCTCGTACACGACGGTACGCTCCTCTAAATAGTCTGCCACTAGCCGCCTCAGGTACTTTGGCACCCCATGATAGTGGAGTGCTTCCCTGATGCAGCTGAATGGCAGACTATTGAATGCGTTGGCGATGTCCAGTGACACCGCCAACAGCACGCCGCCACAGCTCACGGCCTCTTCGGTCACGGCCCTCAGGCGCAACACGGCGTCGACTGTCGAACGCCCCGCCCGAAAACCAAACTGGGCGTCCGACAGATCGGGGCCCACCTCGCAGAGGTGCCGGACGATGCGGGCAGAAAGAACCCTCTCAAACAATTTGCCCGCCTCGTCCAGCAGCACGATGGGCCTATAGGCCGCGACCGAATCGGCTGGCCGTCCCGGCTTCCTCAATAGGACCAGCTTCCCGCTTTTCCAGCACTCAGGGAAGCGTCCCGACGCCAAGCTAGCGTCGAACACCTCCCCGAGGCGGTCTGCCATGTGGTTGAGGGCCAGGGCCAGCACTCGGGCCGGTACCCCGTCTGGCCCAGGGGCGGTGTTCTTGGAACGGATCCGTAGAACAGCCGCCCCTACCTCCGAATCCCGGACGGGCGGAACATTGTCCTCCCCGTGCTCCCCGTCGTCTCCGGCCAGGGAGGCCATCGACGGGGGAGTGTGTTCCGCTCGTTGTGGGAAAAGGCCCTCAACCACTTCTCGCAGGAAGCTGGGCTGGAGAGTCTCCGTAAGGGGGGGGCCCGACGCGCGGAGCTTTTGTCGCACCGCGCGGTAAGGGCGACCCCAGGGGTCACGATTAAGACCCTCCAGCATCTCCTGTCTCTTTTCCTCTTTGGCGCGGCTAATGGCCAGCTTCAGAGTTTTCCGCGCCCGCCGGTACTCCTCATGAAGCCGGTCCTCCTCACCGTCTCCACGGTGACGCCGCCGACTGCGTGTGTAGGACCTCCGGGCACGTGTACAGGCCGCACGGAGGTCCGCCAGCTCCTGGGACCACCAGTAGACCTCCTTCCTTGGAGGCCGACGACCTCGAACGCGGGGCATGGCCGCATCGCATACATGCGTAATCGCATCGCGAAAGCGGCCAGCCCCCACGTCGACCTCCTCGGTCGGAGCCTGAGGAGACAGCCACGAGTGAATTATGGCTGCCTCCTCTAGTAGGTCCCGGTTCAGCCTGGCAACAGCCCACCGCGGAAAGCGGGATAAACGCCGCGCCACGTGACCCCTACTGGAGTCCTGGGTCCGGGAGAGCTCAAATCGGATATACAGGTGATCCGAGAGCGTCTCAACCTCTTCCAGGACACGCCAGTTCCTTACTCGTGCGGCGAGGGCAGGGGTAGCGAACGAGAGGTCCACTATCGACCCCCCCTGCTGTCGCACGCACGTGTTGGTGGAGCCTCTGTTTAGAAGACAGAGGCCCACCGAGGCCGCCCACTCCTCTACGGCCTCGCCCCTGGCGTCCGTCCTGGGGGAACCCCACGCAATGGACTTTGCGTTGAAGTCCCCCAGCACAAGGACGTGCCCAGACGCTAGTCGCCGTATCGAGGTCTCCAAGCTGATTAGGAAAACCTCGAAGTCGTTCAAACTCCGGTTGGGGGAGAAATAGACACCATATATGGTGACCCCCCCCCACTCGACGGCAACATATCCAGTGCCCTTGTCTCTTAGCGACAAGGGCGGTGAATGAGCCGTCGTGGAACCGACGACTGCCACGGAGCCGTCCCAGTCACCCATCCAGTTTGGACGGGGAGGGACAGAATAGGGCTCCGCGACTACGGCAACACCTATCGACCACTGTGCCATGGTTTGCAGGAAGAGATCCTGCGCCGCGGCACAGTGGTTCAGGTTCGTCTGGACCAGGAGGTTGGAGACTTGATCCATTACTGGATCGTCTCTACAACCTCCTCCATGGGCGACGACGACGACGCACGTACTACGTCGGAGGCAGCCTGGGTCGACTGGCTAGCCCCTGACGTCTGCCGAGAACTGCGGGGAGGCTTGCAGCCTCTCTGCCCCATCTGGTGATTGGCGGGCTTATTGCCCGCCGCACACGCTGGGCAGTGAGGGGCGGCAGAGCATTCTGCCGCCTTATGCCCCGGTTGACCGCAGCGGAAACACAGTCCGCCGCAGTCAAAACAACTGTCGCACTTGACGCGCGTGTGTCCCGTGGCCAGGCATTTAAAACACCTCATCGGTCTCGCCGCCAGGACTGTGATCCTGGCGCTCACGAAACCGATGAGCAGCCTGCCGGCGTCGGCCAATACTTTGGCCGACGCTACGGGACAGCTGACCCACACGGCGCCAAGCCCTCCTGGACCGGGGCGGATGGTGCCGACCCTGACGTTGTCCGCGCTGCACCCCGTCTTCTCCCGGATTACAGCGCGGACATCTTCGGCCGTCACTGAGTCGTCCAGGCCCGAGATGCGCAGTTCCGCGCACTTGGTAGGCCTGGCGACCCTGACACCATCTGTGGCTGCAAATATTCCCCGCAGCTTCTCAGCGAAGGAGTCCGCCGTCTTTGCGCCTTCAGCCCCAGGGAACTCGAGAACTCGAGCTCCCGTCTGGGCGAGGCGCATCCTGACCCCCACCGTCCCAAACTCGTTGGCGAGGCTGTCCCGGGCCTTCTTGAAGACGGCCGCATAGGACAGCCCGCCGTCAGCCGCCTCCGGGGACACGG